TCCCCCCATGAAATCAGCCCTTTCAGACTGGAAAATCACAGACGATATCCTTTATTACAAGGACTGCGCCTACGTCCGCCCTGCCGGCCGGCGCCTCATTTTAGAACGATGTCACGACCACCCCACGGCCGGCCACCCTGGCCGTTTCAAAACTGAAGAGTTGGTTAAACGGGATTTCTGGTGGCCTGCTATGGGCACCTTTATTCGTAAATACGTTGAGGGTTGCGCTCTCTGTCAGCAAATGAAAACCGACACTCATCCGACGAACCCCCCACTTGTCCCCATTCCCTCCATCGCCACTGCCCCTTTTACTCAGGTTTCCGTTGATCTAATAACCGACCTTCCCCCCTGTGCGGGTTTTGATTCTATCATGGTCGTGGTCGACCATGGGCTTACGAAGGGGGTAATTCTCATCCCTTGTACCAAAACTATAACCTCCGAAGGAGTCGCCAACAAATTCTTCAAATACGTCTATCGGCAATTCGGCCTGCATGAAAAAGTCATTTCAGATCGTGGTCCACAATTCATATCCAAATTCTCTAGAGCCCTCGCCAAGCTTCTGAAGTACGACATAGCTGCCTCCACCGCCTATCACCCTCAGACCGACAGACAGACCGAACGACTCAACCAAGAATTGGAAACGTACCTTCGTATATACTGTCAGAGCCATCCCGAAAACTGGGTAGAACATCTCCCCATGGCAGAATTTGTTCACAATCATCGAAAACATGACTCTCGCAACGCATCACCTTTCTTCCTTATGATGGGATACGAACCAAGAGCCCTTCCACATACCTTATCTGACTCCACAGTCCCTGCAGCAGCAGACAGACTCCGATCGCTTCAGAAGTCTAGAGAAGAAGCACTCTCCTGCCACACCCTTGCGATGCAGTGCATGGCAGAAAGAACTCATGGACAGAAATATCATCCTTGGAAGATTGGAGATAAAGTTTGGTTATCTGGAAAGAACCTGATCACACAATTGCCTTTGCGGAAACTTGCTCCCAAGCGATATGGTCCATTCCCAATCACCGCTGTCCTGTCTCCCATCACGTTCACACTCCAACTACCACCTCAGTGGAAAGTTCACCCCACGTTCCACGCTTCTGAACTATCGTCCTATCACGAGACAGAAGTACACGGACCGAACTTCCACGATCCACCCCCTGATGTCATCGATAACGAAGAGGAATATGAAATTGATGCGATCTTATCGCATAAAGGGATGGGTAAACGAAGACGCTATCTCTTATCGTGGAAAGGATATTCATCTGCCAGTAACGAGTGGGTTCCTGAGGAGAATCTCGGAAATGCTTCCGACATCCTATCCACCTATAAGAAGGCCCATGGACTGTAAAATCCCAACAATGTCCCACATCGAACGACTACGTCTCTGTATCCTTCGTATCGAAGAACTTACCGCTGCTATGAACACCGTCGCTGAAGGAAACGCCCACCCCCTTACACTCCTAGACTATCAAACCGCCACCGCTGCCAACCTCGCACAACACACTGCCCCCTCTGATACATCGCCACCGACTTCAGACTCTACCCTCACCCTTACCGACGACTCCACCCTCACAGACTACTTCTCCATCATTGATCAAGTCGAAACCAGCGCCCTGTTTGAATCCGCCATTACCTCACAGCAATACGCTATTGAGATAGACCGCCTCCTTGGAGAAAGAGGAGCGATTTCCAGCGGTCTCATAATTAGGATTATCAGAGATGCCAGCCTCATTGATCGAACCGCCGCACTCCTTGATGATGAATGTCATCAAACTATCTTCCGTCATCTTCATATCCGCATTCGCAATACCGCAATCCGACTCTTGCCAGAGGACACAAGAGACGCTATCAGAGAAGCCATCCACATTGTCACCGAGCGAATCGCTCTCAACCCCATCGCTCGACCACCCTCTCCTCACATCGCCGTCCCTGTACCCCCACCAACTCACGTCGCAACTACTGAAGAACGTCAGGATAATCTTATCCCTCCTATTGCCGTACTTGACGTACCAACTACTCCTTCGCCTGACCCAGTCACACGTACCACACGACGACTCCCGCTCAAGCGAAGATCCTCTCGCCTCGCCGCCAAACGAGCCGCTTCCGTATCCCCCACTAAAGCACCACTCAAGCGATCACGGTCACCTTCCCCTCCAAACCAGTCTTCATCTGTCACAGTTGTGAAGACATCGCCGGTCGATAACGTCGTATGCCGTAACTGCCATGTTGCCGGCCACCGTCACAAGAACTGTCCCGCGTATTATTGCAGAGTTTGCAAGGAGTATGCGCCAGGTCATCTGTCGGTCTTCTGTAGAGAACTAAAGGGAGAAGCGGTTATTCCTTTGGTATGGACTGACGTTGGCTTCTACGACGCACTCGCTCGCTGGGAGATCGAGCAAGACGCCATCGCTCATGCTGAGCATTTGGCGCAACCTATTGTCACTGTCACGGAGGAACAAGACGACCTTCTTGACTCCAATTACGATGCGGATCCCATCTACTGGGCAAACCAGGATATGTGAAGTCGGTGACTTCATCGCTAAACAAGGGGTAATGTTACAATAACGGTACCCCCTATCTCTTTTTCCGTACTCATGTGTATTACGTCATGACCGCACCTGGATGTGCCATCACTAGACCAGCATCCACATATATTTGTATTACAGCATGACCGCCACGTGCCGTCATTAGCTGACTCATTGCTTATCTCTGACTCGTCTTGATGACGTATATCCCTGACGTCATCGCTTATCTCTGACTCGTCTTGATGACGTATATCCCTGACGTCATCGCTTATCTCTGACTCATCTTGATGACGTATATCCCTGACGTCATCGCTTATCTCTGACTCGTCTTGATGACGTATACATACCGGCCCTAAAGTAGGCCATACCTATATAAACCAGGTCCTGTACTTAGATAGACTTCACTTTAATCTACTAGGTTTAACCTGCATTATCCTTCGCTTAGGACCCCCAATCCTAAGTCGTCGTATAACTGATATTCAAGCCAAAGACACTCTCTTCGGCTTGTCTTAAGAACCTTACTTTTGTGAGGACACGATCCAGCTTTAGGCGTACTCTTATCGAGTACCTATCGTCGCGCCCATCCTAGTCGACCTATGGCTTGCCATAACACCGAGGCAGACCAATGGTGGAAGGCAATGCATGAGGAGATTGAGATGTTGCAGAGAAGAGGTACATGGGAGCTAGTCGAGAAGCCGAAGGATCGAAAAGTCATAGGGTGCCGATGGACATATACCCTCAAGCTTGGCCCAGATGGCGAAATCACACAGTACAAGGCACGGCTTGTTGCACAAGGATATTCACAGATCCCAGGTGTTGACTATAGTGACACATTCTCACCAACTGTCCGACTCGACTCGCTTCGTGTGATACTGCACTTTGCAGCTTCACATGGCTGGTACCGAGGACAAGACAACGTCACCGGGGCATTCCTCCACAGTAAGATTGATCACGAAATCTATATGCGACAACCTGAAGGTTTCAGTGATGGCACCGACAGAGTTGCGAAACTCTTACTTAGCCTCTATGGGATCAAACAAGGCTCGCACCTGTGGAACAAACATATGCACCGGGCACTAATCTCCCGCAACTTCGTCTGCTGTGCCTCTGACCATGCAGTGTATACCCGCCATACGAAGACAGGCACATCAATCATAGCATGGCACATGGACAATGCCATTACTGTCTCTAGCAGTATTGAGACACTCACGGAGACTCATGCCGAGCTACACAAACTGTTTGAGATGAAGGAAGAAGACCCAGATTGGCTCATGGGATTCACGCTCACCGACGATCGCAAGAATCACTCCGTCGCTATCTCACAAGCCCAGTACATCAACACGATCTTCAAACATTTTAGAATGGATGGATGCAACCCCATACAGATGCCAGTTGATCCAAATACCATCCTATTGAGGGCAGATGGCCCTAAAACAGATGAAGAAGCTGCGGAGATGAAGAAGCTACCATACCATGAACTCATCAGAGCAATCACTTGGATTGCAATGGTCTCACACCCGGATCTCACATTCGCCAGCAGCCACCTCGGACAATTCAGTGCAAATCCAGGGCAGGCACATTGGAGAGCTGCACTGCGCGTTTTACGTTACCTTGCAGGCACACACAGCTTCTGCCTCATGCTCGGGGAGAACAGCGAGAATGCAGATGTCCTCACCGGATACAGCGACTCAGACTGGGCACAAGATATTGACGACCACCAGTCAATTTCAGGATACATCTTCACCCTTGGCGATCGCGTCATATCATGGAATAGCAAGAAACAAACCACCGTCGCAGCCTCGTCAACCGAGGGAGAGTACATGGCCCTCTCACATGCATCCAAACAGGCAATATGGCTGGGATATCTGTTGCGTGATATCGGAATGTATGACAAAGATCCTGGCACAGAGATATTCGTCGATAACACTGGATGCATTAGCCTTGCGAAGGAAGCGCGTTTCCACGCACGCACGAAACACATTGACGTTCATTACCATTTCGTCTGCGAACACGTCGAAGATGGTACTCTCGAGCTCATACATATCCCATCAGCCGAAATGCTCGCCGACGGCCTCACGAAACCACTCGCACGTCTCGCGTTCCAGAAAATGATTGACGAGATAGGTCTGTTGCCAGATTGAGGGGGTGTGTTGGAAATCAATCCGTCAACATAGTAGTATAGATATTTCTTTTTGTTTGGTGTCGCGTTCACTACCTTCAACGTACTTACTAAATACGGTAACTCCGCTCCAGGTACATTCGCTCGTCTCGTTTTTCCCCTTCTTCCCCAGTCTGTTCATACTCGACTGGGGTAAGTCTCACTATATGATACTCACATTCCTTACTGACGTAGTACAGGACTTACGAAGTCCTTGTCTCTTTAGGTACATACTATATCAGTCTGTTCATACTCGACTGGGGACTTACGAAGTCCTTGTCTCTTTAGACGTGTGACGTCTCTTAGCAGCCAAGATCCTTCGTAACATTTGCAAGGCAATGGGACCCAACAACTGAGTGCTAATTCGTGAGTCTTGCGGTTCAATCTGATCTTTTTCCTTCAAAGCCAATATCATGTACCAGATGATTGCGTGATATTTCACACATTGCAAGAACCTGGCGTAGGAGCCAACGGGTTAAGCGTCGTGAGTCTAGGAGTGCAGCCTGAGGTATTTTTGAATCCATGATCCCCCAAGGTCCCTGAACTTATGTTACCGAACTTGGGGGTAGGCAGTCACAGGTCGTACCAAATGGACCTTTCTATGTGGTTTACTTTAAATTGCAAAGAACGAACCTTGGACGAACTGAAGATCATTGGGCAAGTTCCTTATAGTATACCTCGATCCGTTGGGGGATCATCGACTAGTGATAATTCACAGGACCGTTACTGGTCTAACACTCATCCGAGCTTATGATTTTGCAAATTCAACGATCGTGGAGTTCAGAGTCGCTCAGAGCTGATGCCAACAACAAAATTCCCAAATAAAATATTTAGCAAGTCGTAGTCATGTGCTTCATGATGTGAGGATGATAATGTCATACTTCAGGTTGTTGCGTCTACCACCCATATCTTACACAATTGTGCGTCAGGTTCTTTGCTGGTTGCACACCCGTATTGACACTCGGCAGTTTGGTCTCGTTGTGACAGGAGCACACCCCGATCATCATTCCTAAGCGAACGCAGCATATTAAAAATGGATTGATTTCGCGTTGAAAAGTCCCCTTCTACTTCCCTTTGTTCGCGACCTCGCTGGCGTTCTTTGCGAGTTCGTAATGTGACTCCTCATCATGAGTTTTGCCACCGGCAGTATTCTTTTAGACTCGCTATTTTGCGTATCGTTGAAGAATTACCCGGATGACTACTTTGACGCCATTCAATGGGCATTCATCAAATCAACTCGGGCCGTCCAGTGGTGGTCGGCAGTCAACACCAATTTGCGGCCGGTCATAATTTGCTGTGACCAGCACCACAAAGCATCCAGGTACGGGCGATGATAGCTATCTGCAATTGCAAGAACTAGTCTCTGCGTTGAAGTGGTTCCATACGCTTCTCGGGTGAGGGGCTTTCTATGAACAGGCAATCATATGAACTCTGACTCTATACTTGACGTTTTCGTGGGTGTCGATGGGCGCTGCTGCAAAGGTTCTCACAGAAATGTACAACTCACCTTCGATACTCCTTATCACGCCTCCGAATCCAAGCTTTAGAGCTCGGTCTTTCACAAGACACCTTGGGCCGGCGCCGCCTTAGTCTACCATCCATCCCTCTCGATGAATGGCTCTCTGGATTTGACGGTTTCACTTCCAGATACTCTGGTGTCTTAGACCTCATAGAGATGCTTCGCGGGAATCCGCGCACGGGTATATTTCTGTCGAGGGACTGGTAATGGTCATTCTACATTACCTATGAATACCTATGGTAGTCATGCTTTAGTGGATCAAAGATTGGCAGAGATATTGCTGGGTGTTTTAAGACTCCGTATTGGTAAATAGGTCAGCTACATGTTCTCCTTCTGTGCAGGTAAATACTCGAATCTCTTTCCTTCTTCGTGCTCCAAGAGTTGAAACTCGGGAATCGCATTGAACCAGCCCCCCATATCAGATCCAAGGCGTTTCTGTGTTCGAGCTGCATTTTCTGGGTCAATAAGACGTGGTCTCAGTCCACGAGTGGCAGCGGCCTGGTCCGCTAGCATTTGAACCTTGCAGCACTTTTCCATAGAGATGAAAAAGAAGACGGTAGATTCAATCGACTTGGTGGCGACAAGGATTCCGTGGTTCTATATGGAGGGACATGATGAGCAGGTGAGAACGTTTGACAGAGCTCTCAAATATACCTGGAGGATAACAGCCTGCAATGTTGTGAGTATTGACGTAGGTATGTAAATCCGTGCATCAACAAACCTTGTTTGGACCCAGGGCAGTCGCTATAGCCAGACCTTCCTCGCGGTCCTCGACGATGCCACGAAATTCGCTGTACAGAGAATGGTCCTATGGATTCATTGAGTGGGATATCTCTTTGAAAGCGATGAGCGCGAGATACCTCATAAAATGCACAGCTGTCCTGAGTAATGGGATCAAGAGGCACCCCAAGAGTGCTGAACGCCTTAGCGTGTATAGTGTGCGAATGCGCAGCACACAGAATATCAGGGCGAGCCTCATGAACCGCTGAATGGATCATGTATGCCGACCGGTTGAGGAACCGGGAGGGTCCAGATTCCTTTTCCTGTATTTTCCCTTCGTGGTCCACGAGAAGGAGGAGCTCAGGCTGGATGAGCTTGAAGTGAACACCCTGTGGCAACTGGTGAATATCATGATTTTATCTTGGGACATTAATCGACTACCCAGGGGTTGACCCAGTAGCAATCTGGTCTGATAGGGTCCTTTCGACAAAGCAATTTAGAATGTCACGCACTCCATGTTATCAGTGTCAACTCTTACCCGGACAGTAATGTGTCCAGCGACGCCTTCATCATAGCCGTACTTTGCTGCGTTGCATGATGACGGGCGCTGCCTGTTACGATAAAACAATGGGCTCACCAAAGATACGGTATGCCTGAGCCAGGCGAAATTTCAGGAACGCTCGATGTTCGAGTGGGTCAGAGAAGGTCGGAGGAAGCGGTATGTTCTTCCGAGGCGGATAAACCTTCCCTGTCCTCGTAGAAATGTTGCTGGCGTCCCTCGATGGTGCAGTCATGATAACAGTGGATGTGGGATTGCAAACGAGAGTTCTGTGATAGGCCTGAGCTTCTATCGTTATTTAACCGTATCAACGAGCGCCTGCAAGTTTGATCATATACCATCGATACCACCATTACAGATCCAGGCGAATCCAAATGAAGCAGATGCGGCACAACTGTGGGCGTAACTCCACAACTGCGGCTTTGAACCTGTGGCGTTCATCACATGCACAAGCCAGCTTATCGCACCCATACACAAGAACAATGTGCTATGGTGCGCGTCAGTTAGGCATCACCAGTTTGGTGCTCATGATGTCCTACCACCTCGAAAAAATATCAGAATTCTATTGGCAAGTATGCATAACTCGTGCTCTACAACCCTGGCCTTGTATTAATAAATATGACAGTATGCCAGCCTTGCAAAGGCTCTCACAAAAATGCACAACTTACCACCATCATCTCTGATACTCCATATCACGCCTCCGAATCCAAGCTTGAGAGTTCGGTCTTTCGCGAGATACCTTAGTCTATCATTCATAATTCTATCCCTCCCGATGAATGGCTCCCCATATTTGACGGTTTCGCCTCCAGATATTCTGGTGACCGGCCGTCTTAGACCTCATAGAGATGCTTCGCGGGAATCCGTGCATGGGTATGATGGAACGGGCACGGACTGCTAGGGAAACCCAAGGCCAAACCTCTAGCAGGAGGCTGCGGCTCGATCTATCGAGGACCAATTACAACAGTAACATTGTCAACAGTGAACACACTGCAAGACTACGAGCCAGGACTCCTGCCACTGCACTAGGACCCCTGGCACTACCAAGGGCCTGCCCAGACCCTACTACAATGTTTCTGTAGAGGAAATGACAACGGTCATTTTACATTACCTAGCCATATTTTAGTGGATCAAGGACTGGTATGGATATTGCGAGGTGCTTCAAGACTCCGTATTGATGAATAGGTCAGCTACATATTCTCCTTCTGTGCAGCTGAGGTAAGCACTCGAATCTCTTCTTTGTATTCCGACTACGAGCCAGGACCCCTGGCACTTCTGAGGGCCTGCGCTAGACCACCCCACTACAATGTTTCTGTGGAGGAAATGATGACACATCACCTAGCTATTCTTAAGTGGATCAAAGACTGGGAGGGATATTGCTGGGTGATTCAAGACTCCGTATTGGTATACAGGTTAGCTACATATTCTCCTTCTTTACAGGTATGTACTCGAATCTCTTTCCTTCTTCGTGCTCCAAGAGCTGAAACTCGGGAAGCCCGTCGAACCAGCCCCCCATATCTGATCCAAGTTGTTTATGCGTGTCAGCCGCATTTTCTGGGTCAATAAGACGCGGTTTCAGTCCACGAGCGGCAGCGGCCCGGTCCGCTAGCATTTGAACCTTGCAACACTTTTCCATAGAGATGAAAAAGAAGATGGTTGATTCAATCGACTTGGTGGCGACAAGGATCCCGTGGTTCTACACGGAGGGTTATGATAATCAGGTGAGAACGTTCAACCGAGCTCTTAAATATACCTGAAGGATAACAGCCTGAAATCTTGTGAGTATCGACACAAGTATGCAAATCGGCGCACCAACAGACCTTGTTTGGACCCAGAGCAGTCGCTATAGCAAGACCTTCCTCGCGGTCCTCGACGATGCCACGAAATTCGCTATATAGAGAATGATCCTATGGATTCATTGAATAAGATATCTCTTTGAGAACGATGAGCATGAGATACCTCATAAAATGCACAGCTGTCCTGAGTAATGGGATCAAGGAGCACCCCAAGAGTGCTGAACGCCTTAGCGTATTTAGTGTGCGAATGCGCAGCACACAGAATATCAGGGCGAGCCTCATGAACCGCTGAATGGATCATGTATGCCGCCCGGTTGAGGTACCGGGAGGGCCCAGATTCCTTTTCTTGTATTTTTCCCTCGTGGTCTACAAGAAGGAGGAGCTCGGGCTGGATGAGCTTGAAGTGAACACCCTGTGGCAACTCATGGTAAATATCATGATTTTATCTTGGCACGATAATTGATTACCCAGGGGTTGACCCAGTAACAATCTGATCTGATAGGGTCCTTTCGATAAAGCAATTAGAATGTCACATACACCATATTATCAAAGTCAACTCTTACTCGGACAGTAATGTGTCCAGCGACGCCTTCATCATAGCCGTACTTTGCTGCGTTGCATGATAACGAGGGGCGCTCCCTATTACGATAACAATTAACTCACCAAAGATACGATACGCTTGAGCCAAGCGAAATTTCAGGAACGCTCGATGTTCGAGTGGGTCAGAGAAGATCGGAGGAGGAGGTATATCGTTCGGATAATCCTTCTCTATCCTTGTAGAAATGTTGTTGGCGTCCCTCGATGGTGCGGTCATGATAATAGTACTAGTGGATGTGGGATTTCAGACGAGATAGACCCTAACTTGAACTTCTATTGCGATTTAACCGTGTCAGCGAACGCTGCAAGCTTGATCATACGTTATGGATCCCATCATCACAAAAGCTCATTGAAGGTCCGACTTGGTCGGGCTAGAAGCATAACTGTAACTCCGCAACTGTATGACGCTCCAAAGTGAACCCTAATAAATTGTGCGATACACACACCTTCAAACGAGCGACAACGCAAGTGGGGTTGAGCAGCCTGAGTGTCTGGGCTCTTTCTGCTCTCGTGCGTAAGGTGAGGCATGTAAGAACCTAGATAAGAACCTAGGGTCTGCGAGTGCGAAGGGGTGTTGTAAGGACCCCGTGTTCTCTACGCACCGACAGCACCTGAAGCGAACACAAACGCAGTCCATGTCTGCCGAAGAGCTTTACTCTTCGCATCCGAGATATGCGGATATCCTTATTTCCTTTTATGTTACTTACCTTGTACTCTACAGGGCACGA